ATCACAAAAGCATATGCTAATTTCGTAAAGCTTAAGAAATGACAATGTAGACTTTTGTCCAAAATGCATCTAGTTTTAGATCATCAGATACAATGAATTAAAAGTAGATCAATTAAAATGTAAAGTCTACCTCAAAAATTCCACTATCCTAAGAATGTTAAGACCAAGGACTGGCAGAACAATGCCTGTTTTACTGTAGAACCACATGAAGTTTTCTAGTTATCCCCAAACCAAATTGACAGCTACATGCATTGTGACTCAAACGAACACTGGTGTCCATAGCTCTTGTACCTGCTTGTGGCCCAAGGGGTGAAACAGTATATAGGCACAATATAAAAAGAAATCAATTCTTATTCTCTTTCCTCTGGAATCAATTCTATTCCACCTCTGGAAAGCAAGATATCATCAATGCTTGCTAATCCTCATGATGGCAGTTTCACCATAGAGATGTAGCATAAATGAAAAGATCTATTATTCTCTAAAAGGGACAAGATGGAGGGGGGGGCCTCAAGGTCTTCTTCCTGGCCAGTCACACCAAGAAAAAGAATCAAAAGGACTTCAAATGGCACTCAGTGGACAGTGGCTAATAGCCCAAACCACCACCAACAACAAAAAGAATCAGAAAAAAAAAAAAAAAAAAGGAAAACTTCCACCAAAAATCAGAGACCAAAGGAATGTGTTGCTTTGATGCATTGTACATTGTATCACATTTATAATAGATATTTATCACCTCAAATATTCATTTGTGTTGAGAACATCTGAAATCATCTCTTTTAGCTGTTTTGAAATATTTAATACATTATTATGAATTATAGTCACCATGCCATGCAATAGATCATCTGAAATTACTCAAACTTTGTCCACCCTGACCCCAGCACCTGGTGACCATCATCATACTCTTTAATTCTATGAGTTCAGCTTCTTTAGATTCCACATGTAAATGAGATCATTCAGCATCTATCTTTCTGTACTTGGCTCATTTTAATTTGTAATTCTCCTCTAGATTCATCCAGGTTGTTGCCAATGACAGAATTTCCTGTTGAAATCAGGTACTTTAAAGAAGCTAGGAAAAGGACAAAAGTCTTCAAATACATTTTAGATTTGGACATGGTCAATAATTCTGTGTCATAATTTCTTTGACTTTTTAAAGGGTTTATTTTGTCTTTATTTTCTGAGACTGCTCAGGAACCAGGGGAAGGAATTAAATTTTTATCTACAGCTCTTTCTTCTTAGCTTCAAGGCCGAATTCAAGCCGCATTCCAGCACAGGGACAGATTATAGCTCCAGCAAGTAAGGCTACTTGTTAGTAAACATGGTGTGAGAGTGAGTACATGTTCTTCCAGAGCATCAGTGTTTATACTTAAGCAGACAAATCATTTAGGGAAAAAAGCCTGCTTGTTAATAAGCTAGCCTGATGTGACTAATGGCAATTCTGGCACTGACCTGCCAAGGCAATAGGGACTCACAGGGTTTAAGCATCTCACTCTCAACTCTCAGCTTGACAGGTTTAAACAGCATTTCCAACTGAGACCCCCTGGGATTTCACTATAAAAATGCTGAGAAAACCTCAAGTACAGTGGTGTGTTTATAAAAGTCACAGGGGTCCCAGTCCTACCTAGAGAGTTCAGGGAAATGTATTAATTTAACCTCACAAAGGCATCTTGACCAGAGATTTCTATTTGATTTAATCTACATCGGTAGCAATTTCATAATTGAATAAGAAGGCATTTATTATGAAAGTTACAAGTGTGTTTCTGATTGTGACCCATGCAGCCCTAGCCATGTTCTTTCCTTTTCTACTTTTTCAAGTGTTCTTCCTTCCTAGAGGAAGATTTTTTTAGTATGTTGCTCGCCTGTCATGGGGGGGGATAGAAGGAGCAGACACCCGAGAAGCAGCCACTTGTGTGTGGACGGCAGTGTGGGTGTCCTCGCAGTGACTCCTCATAGTGATTCCGACAGCACTTCTGCCTGCAGGGAGAGGGGAGCAGCTGAATGAGTGGAAGAGCTGCCACAAGAGTCATGCCCGTGGAGCTGGGGTGGGCAGCCTATGGGGCGGGGACAGCAAGGCAAAAGAGCCTGTGAATTCTGGATTCTCCCAAGTCACTTCCTGCATGGGGTGCTGATAGGCAAAAAGACAAGTATAAGCCAGGAAGGTCGCCTGGTTCTGGGTGGCAGGTCCTGAGAGATGAGTCAGCTCCATGTTGTCTCCAGGCAATCTCATCACACCCTGACCTCAGAGCCATCATAGGCCAGCACATTCCAAGCACACCTCTTCGGTACCATGCTGCCTACTCTGTACCTCCAACAAGAATGCCTGGGCATCTCAGAGCAAAATTTTCAAAACAGGAATATTGGCTCTCAATCCCCAACCTTCCCTCCTGTCTGTCCCTATCATGTCAATGGAGACAAAAATATAGGAATAACATTTGATTCTCCTCTATCCTTCCTCCTCCTACATCAAATCTGTCAGCCGATTCTGCTGACATGACCTACAAAACATACTCCAAAGACAGTATCTTCACTTCTACCCCACCACCTCCCTTTCCTGACTCATACCCACCACCTCCCTGCTGTGACCACCCTCTCCTCTGCCCCAGGCAGCAACTAGAATTATCTTGTAATGTAGATCATGTCTATCACTCATTAAGTCTGATTAGAGAAGAGAGAAATTATGGGACCATTTTGTCTTTAAATGGAGCTGTTTGCCTAGCCAGTTCTTTGAGAATTTCTCATTGAGAGGGAGGCGACTATGGGTTAAAAGTGTGTATTTTTCTAAGGTCAGATAGCCAGACGTGTGTGTATGTTGATGAGGGTACCTTGGAGAAAGGGGGCACACTCTGATGTAGGAGAGAGGGGAGAATGGCTGGCCAGTTCTTTCCTGGTGTCCTGAGCAGAGGGGATCTATTGACCATGGCTAGAAGCAGTGCAGTTGCTGAAGGAAGGCAGAGTGCTTACAACACGTGCAGGCTGCAGGGCAGTGGTCTGAGGTACTGGCCGGAGTCTGCTGCTTCCCTCCCCAGGGAGAAGTGAGAAAGGTCATCTGCTGAGAATGAGGAGGACAAGGAGATAGGACTTGTCCTCTAGGGGAGTGGGAATGGCCATGAGCCTGGAGACGCTTTTCCTTCTCACCTGGGATACTCTTTGCTAAGATTTTCACATGGCTGGAAATTTGGTGACTTTCGGGGCTTAGCTTAATGCCGTCTCCTCAGAAAGGCTCTCCCTGATTCCAAATCTGAAGTTAGCCACCCAGTCAGTCACAATCCTGTCTCACTCTCTTTGACGTCTCTGAATAGCATTTATTACTTCAAGATATTTAGCTTATTTTTTTTGTTTATATGTTTATTACTGTATCTCTTCCTAGAAATACTAGGATACACTAGGCCCTATATGGATCAAAAAAATATATTTTATTTATTTATTGGAGAGAGAAATCTTAATGAATAACCATGAGGTATTTCTTGGCTTCAGGAAAAAAATAAATATGTCATGTTGGAATATAGTAGAATCTAACTCAGATCAGCCCAGGGTTAAATCCATGTGTGTGTAGTGCAGGGGTCCTCAAACTTTTTAAACAGGGGGCCAGTTCACTGTCCCTCAAACCGATGGAGGGCCAGACTGTGGGCCCCGGGACAAGTCGGCTGCTAAGCAGGACAGGCAGCGGCAGCAAAAACACCCAGCTGGCGGGATAAATGTCCTTGGGGGGCCATATGTGGCCCACTGGCTGTAGTTTGAGGATGCCTGATGTGGTGTGTCTCTACTTGGGTGGAGATCAGAGGGGATGCATCCTGTAGTTGGGCCAGCAGTAACCAACTCAAGTCACCTATCTTGGCACACAGAAGGTCTCTGTCCTCAAGGCCATTCAGCACTTACACTGAGCTGGCACCATTTCTCTTGGGCCTGCTTTCCTCCAGTGAACTTAGTGATAGTAGGAGGCCACACAGGTGAGTATTATGTAAATATCTAAACTAAAAGTATGGAGAAGGAACCTTTAAAATGGGAAAATGGAGAGGCCAAGCTGCACTCTTTATGTCTTAACCAGACATCTGAACTGGCCCTAAAGATCCTTCTTTGTTTCCTCAGGCTGAAGATGTGAAGTTTGTCAGCCCAGGGGGCAAATGCCAGCATAGTTTCATGTATCTCAGATGGTCTTAAAATTATGGCTTATATTTTTTAATTTCTTATACAATACCTCCTGACCCTTTTAGAGAAAGATTTTGATTAGCCAAATTTATGTTTCATTACTTATTTTTTAAGAGCAAAACAAACAAAAAATCATCTCAGCATATCCAGTTTAAAATAATACTTTAAAATTTGTTTATTCTCTGTGCTTAAAAAAGTACTGAGGTTCTGAGTTGCCCAGTATTGAACCATAAAGTAGGAAGAAAAAAAATAAGGTAGGAAGAAACTTGTATTTAGCCAAGAAGTTCAGGACTGCTCATCCTCCCGTGGTCAGGAAACTCGGATAGCAAACAAAGATAAACTTCAGAAAGAAAAAGGATTTCCTAAGCACTGGTTGGACTCACTCTTTCATTTAAAGACATGGATAGTTATATCAAATTTCTTATCACCTTGGAGGTAAATGCTATAAATTTGAAGACCCAAATCCAGACTGATCTAAGTTAAGATTTTTTTTTCCTGACCACTACACTACTAGAGATAAGTTAAGATTGCTAATAGATGTTTCAGAGAGTTTCTTCTTTGCCTATAGGGAAAAAAAAATTAAAAAGCAGCACATAAAGGTAAAATGACATGTTATTAGGGACCTTATGATTAGCAATGCTTCTTATTCATTTTTTCAGGAAAGATAAAAATTACTTGGGCTCACGTGGGGACTGTCAGAACCTAGAGAGATTGAAGTGGTCTTCCATGTTTTGTTTTGGTTTTTTTCCTGATTTATGAAATGCACCTCATTGATTGAACCATAAATTAGGAGCTGTATAATCTGCGGGGAGGGTAGGAAGAGTTCTGGACTATAGTGTTTCTATTTTTCATTTCTTTAGACTGGAGGACAAAAAATAGACTCAGAAGAGGCACTGATCTGTGAAGAGGATTTAGATGGAGGAGATAGTGGGGAAGGCGAGTTGGAAGAAAGTACCAAATTAAAAATATTCCGCAGGCTCGCCTCTGTAGCTTCCAAGCTTAAGGAGTTCATTGGCAACATGATAACCACTGCTGGAAAAGTTGTTGTTACCATTTTACTGGGTTCCTCAGGTAAGTGTTTCCAGTACTAGATTTCCCATGGTAAGATGGCACAAGTAGTACTTTAGTGACTAATGAAAGAAACGATTGCAGAGAAAATAAGGAAACAGTCTATTCTATGACACAAAATTAATAACTGTAGACCTTGTAAAACTCACCACATATGTAAACCACATTTAAAAAATCATTTTTCTATTCAGTTCTAGTTTGTCAACCTCTGTAAAATAATCTTTTTCCATATCTGTTAAGTAATCTCATTTTCTATGTTTAGATTAGAATAAAACTATTCCTCTGCCTTAAAATCTTGAAATGGTGATGTACTACAATTAACAACCTTAGTGTACCCAGCTCAAGCCATACTTGAGCCTTCTGAAGGCATGTCAGTTTATGTTCAGTCAGTTGCAATCTTAATTTAACTCTCCAGGATATACTATTTTTCTTCTTAAATTAGATTGTAATCTTTCAGAACAGACACTCACTTCCTTTAAATTTTGGCCACAGACTGCTTATTCCATAACAATGTTATCTTGATCTAGTCTACTGCTTACTGCTGCTCCTGAGGGAAGTCTTATTCAAGTTGACTCACCCAAACTACAAAGATGAAACAATTTAACTGGCTTATAACAGGGCAAAAAGAGGAAAATAAAATAGAATAATTCGAGAAACAAAACCTGGTATTTTAATGAGGAATCGTTTAAAATGCCCAATAAAAATGTTTTAAAATACCTATATAGGAGTTACCTCATGTTGCTTTTCCCTTTTTGGTGATAAATTACCAAATTTTGTTAGGTAAGACAACATTTTAGTGAGACTTTAACTGTTACAGGTTGTACTATCTTATGAATCTCAGTAAACTAAAAAACAAAAATCATTATAAAGAAGACATGAGGAAAAGTTGGAATAGATTACAGGTACCTGTATTCCTGAAATTTGGTGGGGAAAGTAAAAAGGTGGAACTAGGCAAGTAAATATGTAAATGCTAGTGGTATGAAAAGTAGTTCACTTAAGTCAAACATGATTACTTGGTGAAATTTCTTTATCATCTGATATTTCCCTGTATCTACAAAATTATCACTTCATGTGTGACTTTTTCCTGCAATAAATGTAGCATTAATTCTGATTATATAAATAAAATATGAGTACTATTTTCAAAAACCTGATCAATATCTAAAAACATATGAAGGAAATTCTTTGTCTTTTTTCTTTATTTTAACCACCCCAAGCACATATATAGCACACATAATTTCTGACTGGTAATGGAATTTCTAGTTTTAGTATATCTTTGATGATTGCATTTCTTTTTCCTTAGGTATGATGTTGCCATCTTTGACCTCATCTGTGTATTTCTTTGTGTTTTTGGGTCTGTGCACTTGGTGGTCCTGGTGCCAGACATTTGATCCATTGCTGTTCAGCTGTCTCTGTGTCCTGCTGGCTATTTTCACTGCTGGACACTTGATTGGACTTTATTTATACCAATTCCAGTTCTTCCAAGAAGTGGTTCCACCAAATGATTACTATGCAAGGTAAGAGGAATCTTTTAGACTTTTCAAGGAGAGGTTGTTCCTCCCCACTTCCTCAGGCCCTTAGCTTGGCATTGTGAATTTACTAGGGATCTTCTTCATGACAGGCCATTGATGTGTTAAGCAAAGATTTGGTGGGGGTGGGTGAGGCAGTGTAGCTCTTTAATTTTATTGGATGACACAGTCTAAAAGGCCTCTGAAGAGGGCTTCCTCAGATAGAAGTGCTGCTGGAATACAGAAGTGGGGGAGCTGTTGTCTGTAGGTAGCTAGCAGTGCAGATCCTGGATCTGGGCTAAGGAAGGACATCTAGAAAGAGCGTTTCACACCAAATAATGGTGAATGTTTGTCTCAAGCATCCAGCTAGAAAGAGCTCGCATCAGACCAATTCATGACCACAAATTGAGTATCAAAATACTAACTAATTAGTTTTAAAATTTTTAAAATAAAAGCACACCAGTTTGGGAAGTGAGGAGGGGGAGAGAGAGAGAAAAAGGAGAGAATGAATGAGAAAGATCTAATAATTTACTTCATTTGGAGATGCCTAGTACACCAACTCCTTATTGTGAAATTGAGAAATAAAGATGAATAGCCAGTATTTACTCTGACTTTTTTGAAGAACTATAGGCCTTTCTTAGTAAATGAAGGAAAACTTTTTACGGGATAATGCTGGCTAGTGAATGAGAAAGGAATAATCAGATTAGAAAATTACCAACCATCAGTCCTTAAGGAAGTATTTGATTATGGTCACCGCCTAAAATCATTCCTCTGTGGCTGAGTACAGTGGGTCATGCCTGTAATCCTGGCACACTGGAAGGCCAAGGCAGGTGGATTACCTGAACTTAGGAGTTTTAGGAGTTTGAGAGCAGCCAAAACAAGAGTGAGTGAGACCCTGTCTCTACTGAAAATAGAAAAATTAGCCAGCCATAGTGGCGTTCATAGTGGCACATGCCTATAGTTCCATTACTTGGGAATCTGAGGCAAGAGGATTGCTCAGGCCTAAGCATTTGAGGTTGCTGTGAGTCACAGCACTCCACTCAGGAAAAAAAAGTCATTTATTTAAAAGATTGTTATGATGTTTGCACAATGACAGACTATAACCTTACTGATTGTTTGCTAATTGAGGAAGGAAAATCATAGTTTACAAAGGTGGTCAACACCTTAACCAGTTGATCCAAGTTAACATTAGCAAAAATGAGGTAGTTCAACATTTCATACCTGTCAGTGTGATGCAGTATAGGAGATACATAGCATCACATTGTTAAGGCTTTTGACCTAACCTTAAATTTACAGAAACTATAAAAGATAGAAAATAATTTACATGACTTCACAAGAAAAACTATCAGAAAAATCCAGAATGTGGATTCTACAAGGCAAATGATCAGTCTCTTCATAGTTCAGCATCATGAGGAAGAGGTATGTGTGCAGAGAGGGTAGAGGCAGGGCTGTCTGCTTTAGAGGAGAACTAAAGAACTGAAGCACAGCTCTAGACCAGATGCTGGTTCAGCAGCAAATCTCTAAAACACACGTTGGGGTTAAGTGGGAGGAAAGTTCAATGTTCTTTGGATATTAGCCGATAGTATAAAATTACTACTATTAGGTTTATGATGGTATCGTGGGTACATAGATGAGGTCATGATGTTACAAGATACATGGTGGATTGTTCAGGGATAAAGTGCCATGGTGTTTGCACTTCTAAATGTTCTAAATGCGTGTATACATACATACATGCATACATATGTACATACTAGTAGGTACATAGTAAAGGAAATAAATAAAATTATTGAAACTAGGTCATTATGGACTTATCTGTTGTCATAGTTGAACTTTTCTTTGAAAAGTTACAGAAAAAAGAGAACAGAAATGGTAAGAGGGGATACAAATGTAAAGTGATGACGGGGCCAGAATTTTCCTCTCTGTTGTATGGTATTATTTATCTTCTTGTTGAGAAATGAGGAACTTGCAATTTGAAAGGACATGAATAATATATCATGCTGGCAATATAGCTTATATCAGTTTGCTTCATTCTTTCAAGAGATCCTACTGTGGTTTTTAGAATATGTGATAGTAAGTATGAAGATGGAATTTGTGTGTGGGCCCTGTAGCCTTGCTTCCTTTGGTTCATATATAAAATTTGGCCAAAAAGCTAGTTGTGGCAGTGTCTACACAGTGCTTAAAAAAATGGTCATTTAAATCTTAACACTACTTAAACTCAATTAAAATAAAGTTGGTGTCCAGCACACTCTTCACACTAAATATAAATCCAATTGGCTCACCTGATTGTATTAACCTGGAAATTTCAAAAGTATAAGTCAGTCAAATAAGAGAATTTTACACAGATACATTAAAACTGAGGAGCCATTTTCATGGTGCATATTCACATAGTATTTATTTTAGGTAGAAGTGAGTAAAGGTTCAGTTTCCGTACAAATATTAGTTCTAGACTAAATGAATCCTTTCTTAGTTTCTTTTAGACATTCAATTTTTGGTTATTGAACACATAGAAAAAAAACATTTTGTACTGATGAAGAGGCTGACTTTTAAGAAATGAGTTAATTGGAAATGTAAATATACCTATAGGGCAAAAGGTTTTTGGTTTTAGGAAAAAAGAAAAAAAAAACTAGTAAAGAGAACTTTACTAGTTTAAGGATCTTTTCTGCCATCTAGAGGCTGACAATAAGAAATTTAAAGAATATTAATAATCACTTTGAAACTTCTCTGTAAAGCAGAAGTTCTCAACCTGTGGGTCACAACCCACAGGAACTGTATTAAAGGGTTGAGGCATTAGGAAGGTTGAGAACCACTGCTGTAAAGGATCAGTTAGACTTTGCAGGCCATACAGTCTCTGTTGAAATTCTTTCAAGAAGTCATTATAGTTGCCAATGCAGTTAAGACAGGTGTGAAAAAATAAGCATGGCTGTGTATGCTTATGGCCCTGTATGGACATTGACACTTGAATTTCATGTTATCTTTACATTATATGAAACATATTTTTTTGTTTAATTTTTTACAACCATTTAAAAATGTAAAAACCATTATTAGCTGATGAGCCGTACCAAAACAGAGATTGAACCAGACTTGCTCCAAGGCCATAGTTTACCATCCTATGGTATGAAGATTAACAGTTTTGATACTATAATGACTTAACATATTTGCCTTTTATTTGAATTTTCACAAACTTAAAATTATTATCATTTATTACAGAAATTTTGTAGATAATGCCTTTAACATTTTAAAAAGTCTGTTACTATAATCTCATAGAGTAGGTCATTGGAAGTTATATGAGTATGGTAGCCCACACCTGTAAACCCAGTGTACTGGATGGCCACGGTGGGAGGATCACTTAAGACCAGGTGTTTGAGGCTAGCCTGGGCAAAATACACTGACCCTGTCTCTACAAAAAATAAGAAAAATTAGTTGGGAGTGGAGGTGCACTCCTATAGTCCCAGGTATTGAGAAGGCTGAGGCTTTAGCCCAAGAGTTCAAGGCTGCAGTGAATTAGGGTTAGGCCACTGAACTTCAACCTGGATGATAAAGCAGGAGCCTGCCTCAAAACTTAGAAAGGAGGTTGAGTTGCTTAACAGGCTGTCAGATATAGAAACTTGAGTTAAACAGAGCAGTATGTGTATTTTCTTGTCATAGATATTTTTCCTCATTAACTTGGTAATAAGAGGACATCATTTTATTTTATTTCTTTAATTTTAGAAATTAACCTCTTTAAAACAACAGCATTTTTGTAGGGCATAATTGCAATGTATTGTTATTATTATTAAACCCACACTCAGAAGAAAACAGAGAAAGAGCCAAAAAAAAAAAAAAAAAAAAAACTTCTTGTGTGGATGTTTGTCACAAATTTCATAACCACAGAGACTATAGCCCTTACATGTAGCTTCCAGAGAAAGCTGTCCTTAAAACAGCTCCAGCCTTGGGCAGGCACCTGTGACTAGTGGGTAAGGCACCAGCCGCATATAGGTGGCAGGTTTGAACATGGCCCCGGCCAAACTGTAACAAAAAATAGCCAAGTGTTGTCGCGGGCACCTTATCATCCCAGCTACTCAGGAGGCTGAGGCAAGAGAATCGCCTAAGCCTAGGGGGTGGAGGTTGCTGTGAGCTGTGACGCCATAGCACTCTACTGAGGGTGACAAAGTGAGACCCTGTCTCAAAACAAACAAACAAAAACCCAGCCCCAGCCATTTTTATCTGCTTGGAAGCTTTCAAATGGGTTCTCTGGTGAGAACTTTTTTTTAAGAAGCACCGAATTGATTTTTTGGTCATTAATATATAATACATGTTTGTTAGTGATTATTTAGAAAAATAAAATAAAAAATAAGAGAAGGGCGGCGCCTGTGACTCAAAGGAATAGGACACCGGCCCCATATGCCAGAGGTAGCAGGTTCAAACCCAGCCCCTGCCAAAAACTGCCAAAAAAAAAAAAAAAGAGAGAATAAACACTTTAAAAAAAATTAATCCTAACTCCCAGAAATATCCACTTCTCCAGTATCTTTCCTATGCCTATATGTACTTTTTAAAAGAAAATGTTGAATTATATTGCACATACTGTTTTACAACTTGCTTTACTCACTTGAATCATTTATTTTCCTGTGTTTTAAGATGTTCTAAAATGTGATTTAAGTAGGCTGTCAAGTGTTTGTTTGTGTAGCTCTGTTATAACTTAGTCCCTGAGTTTTGACCATGTTTATTGTTTCTCATGAATAATGCTGTGATGCACACAGATCCAGGTTTCATTTTTCTCAAGGTGGTGCTGCCTTTTAATCCACTAGCCCCAAGAGATCAGCTGCTTCCTTCCAGCTTCAGGCAGACCTGTGGTAGGATTCTGCCATTGATTTATCCAGAAGAGGGTAAGAATTGACAATTCCCTTCCATTTGTCCATATAGGCATGGCATGTCCATATTTTCTGAAACAAATTTCCTTTTTTGAGACAGAGTTTCACTATGTTGCCCTCAGTAGAGTGCCCTGGTGTCACAGCTCACAGCAGCCTCAAACT